TGCAAACCCAACAGGGATTCCATGACACAAAACTTCGACAGTAGTGTTTACTTTGCGTTCCAGCATGGTAGAGCTGGAGAGCTTCTCGTGGTCGTCAGTTAACCATGGAAGAGATCCACACAAGAGATATATCAGTGTATGTATCAGCGACTCAATATCATCACAACAACCCGTCTCGACTCCCAAATGACTGTTGATCGAGGCGAACGCAGGGGTACCAGTGAGATTTTGGCCTTGGCGAAATGGCACATGGGTTCTAGCTGAAGTGCTGCAGTACTCCTTTGCGATACCAAAGTCGACAATGAAGGCGGTGTGCCTCAAATTGTTGAGACCTACCAATATATTCTGCGGTTTAATATCACCGTGCACAAAATTGTGTGAGTGGATATATTCGAGACATGAGAGCTAGAAAGATGGTGTCAGTTCTTTGCAACAACACATTGTAAAGCAACTTACTAGTTGGTCTCCTAGATTCACAACATTGCAAAGGCTGAACTGTTGAATGCGTGCAATGAAGAGATCATGTAATGACGGCCCAAGGAGGTCAAGAACCAAAGCATAGTAGGTCGACTCTCTACCGAACCACAAGGCGCGGGGAATCCCAACTCCACCTGCAAGTCGTTTTAAAATGTTGTATTCATGCTGCAAAGACGAGTGGTTGATGGTGGGTTCAAGTTTAATAGCAACTGAATCATCCTTTAAGAAGTTTTGTGCGCGGTACACAACAGCTAAGCGCAGGTCATATGTTGAATGTGAATCAATATATCATCACCAGGAGAGAATCACATACCGTATGCGCCCGAACCCAGAACATCTCCAAGCCTGAATCTGCCATCAACGCAGGTAGGGACTTTGTTCATAGTACAAATTACTGTAGAAGCTTGATAGAGAAAATCTAAGCAACACAAGAGGGAATGAGGAAAGGTCTTACCATGTGTTACTAGCTGGCTTGTGCCGGCTTTAACCAGCTCAAGTTGTGGTTCATACATTCCTGGCTTTAGCTGGTTTGTGTGGCTGGCCAATGCTGCAAACCAGTCCATGTGGCAAATCAGTGGCTCGGCTCACCAGAATCACCAAACTACCAGTGCATCGGTAAATGCCGAACTTGAGCAGACCCAAACCGAACTGCGGCACTACTACTTGCAGCAGCTTTCCCCTTTGCTCATCTGGATTGTGTTTGACCGTGATTTCCTTTGGCTCGACCTCTAGCAGCGTGTGCCATCTTCTAAATGGTTCCCTGAGAACAGACAAAGTGACAAATAAAGGGTGATTGGGGATCAGATAACACCAGCAAGGTCGACAGCAATGACAGCATTGATGGCTGGTTGATGGGCAGGACGGCAGTTAGTGGCAGGGTGGAGTTTGAAATGTATGCCATGCTGCTGGTGTTTGGCTCTCATTGTGCGAACTTTGAGTACCACTATTGGCAGGTGACATTTCTGCGTGACTTCGGCACTTTCAACCATCTCACTCAATTCTGCTTCAATCATATCTGTTCGACCTCGTAGTGAGTTGTATTAGAGAAAGAATGATACCTATGTTGAGAATTTTGTGTTTAAGTGGCTGGAAATACGAGTTTTGTGAAAGTGCCGACTTCTGGGGGCTGCTGAATGCATGGGATAGGACAGTACAATGAAGTTAATGTAAACATGGCTTACGCAGACATCATTCATGCATCATCAAAAATGTCATCAACTACGTCATCGATAGCGATTGGACACCACGTACTGTTTGCTTATATTTGTCTTTCATTTCTAACCGCTCTTCCCAGATACCGTTCTGGGTGTACATTGTACAAGTCAGTTTTTTTCTGGAGAGTCATGGCGGCTAGGTTCGCACCACAGCCTACGTATGCATCTGCTGATGTCCCAGTCCCTACAAATCGTCCACCTCAGCCCATGGGCACCACTATACACCGTGCAAAAACCCTCGACCCTACACTGTTGTCGACACACCCGGAGACATCAACATCCAGATTGGACCTTCCAAATTCGCCCAACATTTTTCCTACTTTCCATGCGTCACAGCTTAAGCCATTCCACACCAATGACCCCCTCCTGTTCCCATCATGAGAGTTCCCGCGACCCGGACCTGTCGTTACCGAAGATGGACAACCGGAAACTTTCATAGATCGGATTATCAACGAAAAGAAGGTGGGGAGAGGGAAGCGTTACCTGGTGAGGTGGCATCATCAAGAACGCCATCAACTAGGTCATCGACAACGATTGGACACCACGTATCGTTTGCTTATATTTGTCTTCACTCCTATATATACTGAACGCATGCTCATGTATTAGCATCGCTTCATTATCCGTACGCTTTGACACCTACTTCAGTCTGATTTGGTTTTAGCGTTTCTACTCGTCACACACGAGTGGTTTCCAGTTAATCAAAGTCTCACGTTTTCGAAGCGAAGCGAAGCAACTGGCAAAGTCACTTCAAATTCGACAGCAACACTATCGACGACAAAGCGCTCCCTCCACTAACGTGGGAGTCGGAGACATGTCAGAAATTCGGATTCCTTTTAAGCATTCTCGCACATCTCGGGAAATTAGAAATCCGTTTGTGTTCGACAAAGCCCTCCCCGAGTTTCTGAGCATTCTCGCACATCTTGTTAGCGATGGGAATTCGTTTGCATTCGACAAAGCTCTTCTTCCCTACACTAACGTGGGAGTCGAGGATCACTTGCGCCTTGTTGTTTTACTATCATCATGTCGAACATGTTGCTAGCGTGTCGGCGTGTAACAGGCCCGCGTGCTCGACAAACTGTCGCTCTAGCTAGGTATGCCAGTGCGAGCACCAAGGAAAAATTCCGAGTGCTTGTTATCGGAGCAGGTGCATCAATCGCTGGAGTTCTCTGAATTAACGTTGATGCATTTTCAGGTTCTGGTGGATTGACTGTTGCCAACCAGATATATAACCGCTTTAAGGCTGCTGGAAAGCCTTTGAATGCAGGGGATGTAGTGGTCCTTGACGCAGCAGACTATCACTACTATCAAGTAAGCACTCAGAATCAGACTGTAACCTATTCGTGTGAGCTACTTTCTGATGGCTTTTCCTTTCAAGCCCGGCTGGTAACGGTTTCTATCCATCGTTTATGTATACGAATCCTGACGTGTCCTCCAGGACGTTGGTCGGCGCTGGTCTTGGCTCTAAAACAGATTTCAGACGACCGCTCGCGTCCCTATTCCCGCCACATATCACGCATGTCGCAGAGAATGTCAAGTCATTCTATCCGGAATCCTCATCAGTCATGACAACGTCAGGTCGGACAATTTCATACGATTCACTTGTAGTGGCAGCAGGTTTGAAAATAAACTGGGACGGCATCGCTGGGTTGCCACAGGCTCTCGCTGATCCCTCCTCTGGAGTCTCATCGATATATTCCTATGATACCTGCAGCAAAGTTCAGCACGACATAGATGCTCTCAGGTCTGGAAATGCTATATTTACCCAACCTGCGGGTATCATCAAATGTCCAGGAGGTAAGTCAAATTTCTCTCTGTATCGCGGCTGCTTATCGTTTTCTAGCTCCGCAGAAAATCATGTGGATGGCCTGGGACAGATACCAAAAATCCGGGCGAGGAAATAACATTAAAATAGATTTCATGAATGGCATGCCATCCATGTTTAGCGTCAAGAAGTATTCGGATGCCCTCAACGCTCTGCGCATCGAGCGGGGTATCGGAGCAGAGTTCCAACACAACTTGGTTTCTATTGATGTGGCGAACAAGAAAGCAACTTTCAAGAAGGAAGACGGTTCGACCACGGATCGTGATTTCACCCTCCTGCATGTCACGCCGCCTATGGGACCGCTAGACTTCATCAAAGGATCGCCTATTGCTGATTCAGCGGGTTGGGTAGAAGTCGATCAAGCGACTCTCAGACACGTCAAGCCCGAGTTTGGAAACATATTTGCCTTGGGTGACTGTTCTTCCCTACCCACGAGCAAAACGATTGCCGCCATTACATCTCAGGCTCCTATCTTGACGGAAAACTTATTTTCGGTTATGGACACTGGCAAAGTTAGCAGTGCAAAGTATGATGGCTATACAAGTTGCCCGGTCCGTTCGCCTCCTTACACCATTATCCACTTGACCAAATTCTAATTTTAGCTTCTGACGGGGTATGGGGAATTGATGCTAACCGAGTTCAAGTATGGATTTGTGCCCAAAGAAAGTTTTTCCAAATACCTGGGCGATCAGACGAAACGGAGAAGGTTTGTTCTTTGTGATTCCTACTTGCATCATTGCATTGAACCTGCCAAATCCCTCAGATTATTCTACCACTTCAAAAAGGTACGGAGTACAATTGGAGATGTAGCTCCTAAAATAAGACATACGGCTTATTGTCTGTGCTATTCTTACTAGGACCTTTTTCCTTGGGTTTACTGGAGTCGCATGGTGAGTCACTGGAAACGGTTTGCGCGGGGCTTTCGGAGTGTCTTATGCTGCGCCGCAGGTTGACGGAAAATGGTTCGGCCCTTCAGGACCCTTCCGTCCCAAGTTTGTATGATGTTTGACATTAAGGAGTTCTTGGAAGTTTCATGAGTCAATTGAGTAGACGTGGGTCACCCCCTCGTAGTTACAGGCTGTAACCCCTGTTCGTAATACAAAAGATTGGTACTCGATAAATTCCAGCGACGTCATGAGCATCGCCTGGAAGTACCCCACCGAGTTACATCCTTATGAGTCAGAACCCGTTAGAGATCCGGTTGGGTTCTGGTGCCTGAATCCACCATGTGCATATATGATTCACGGGCAGAGGCAGAGATCACGACCTAAACAGGTATGTGTTACGTGTACGGCGCCGGAGACCATTCGATCCGTGAGTGGGTCCACAGCGTTGAGCCTTAGTTCCGAGTCGACGCGAACTTCGACCTAGTAGTAGTAATAGTAGTAACTAGTTCAACGTTGGGATACCAGCGTGACTGAACATATGTGTACGTCACGCCGCGTTTAGTGTGACAAGTCACCACAACGGCTTCAACACGCTCCACGATGTCAAGGGCCATGACTGCAGCTCAGGTCATCGGCCTGGGCGAATATCTTAACCCCGAATTTGATCCTGCTACCCTTACAGTCGCTCAACTTCTTGGTATTCTTGGATATCACAACATCAGGTTTCCGACGCCTTACACCAAACCAAAATTAGTGCAGCTTTTCCTCGATGAAATCAAGCCAAAGGCAGCGAAATTCAAGAAGGACAGATTGAAGAAGGAAAACAGTACTGCTAGCGATGATGGAATAACTGATGGAATAACAGGAAAACCCCTCAGTGGTGCCACAAAGGTGCGTGCTTGGTATAACTGCTGTGCTTCTTCTCCTGTTAATGAAAAGCAGCCAAGGCGATCTTCCAGGAGAGTTTCTCATGCACCGTCTGATGATGAGGAACCGCCGGCTCGACCAGATCCGGTATGGACGTCATTTCCTGTGCTGTACCTAACTTAATCTTGCGTCCACCAGCCGAAGCGCCGTCGTTCGTCTGCACAACCCAGCCTTGGTGGCGCACATAGAACTATTGCTCGCGCCGCTGCGCAGCCCGCGGTTATCGAAGAAAGTGAACCTGAAGAAGACTCGCCTTTGCGCAAGGTAGGCAGGAACAAGAAGAGTGTGAGTGAGCGCTATGTTTGACCGCAAGGTGCACTAACCATTCATGTAGTCACAAGCTGCTGGTTTGCAAGCGCGCAGAATCTCGGTAATTTAAAGTGTTTTTGTTCAGTATTTGTCTGACCCTGTCTCAAGCTTGCAGATGACAGCGGATGGGAGGACAATAACATTTTCCAATCGGGTGCTGAATCATCTTCGCCTGTGCGCCCGTCTCCTGTGCGTCCTCGGAAAAGTGGTTCTGTCAAGAAGTCACGCCACTCGATGTCAGCACCCCCTCAAGCATCTTCGTTGTCTCCTCCAAAAGCACCTCTTTTCTCAATTGATACACCGCGTTCTCCTCCGCAGTCAAAGTTTGAACCTGAGCTCCCTCCTACAATTTCACGAGCACCCCGAATCTCAACTCCGTCGGAGACAGTTGGTTTCAATCCTATCGAACACCGGTCTAGGCCGCCTCCTGAATCACCAACCAAGGTCGGTGCCCGTGGCCTGGATTTTGATGACGCCACAGATGTGGTTGATGGACAGATTCCTGATGAGAGCCAGAGCGACGGTTTTGGGGAAGCTGATTCGCTAGAGGTTGCCGTATCCAATGGTATAGGTGGTGGTGACCAATTGGTTCGCCGGCGTCCAGCCCCTCCGCTGCCGCGCTCTAGGTCGCGTCTCATGACACTTGTCTACCTGATCGTGATAGTTGCCGGATCCTATTTTGTGAAGCAGTACAAAGACGAATCATCTGCGATTGGATACTGTGATACTGGCAGCAACACCAATCAGGCTCTGCGGGACCTCGAAGGGCAGTGGGAGGCGATCCAGGCTCGTAACAAAGACAATAAGACGATTCTGTATCTGCCGTCGATCATATCGGATACTGGGTTGTTCGAGGATGGAATTCCAAGTCCATTTCCACTATTTGTTCCAGGCTTGCATCCGTCAGCATGTGCTCTTTGTCCAGAATTTGCGACTTGCACGCAACACTCGGTCATGTGTAACCCTAGTTATGTATCGCGTCCGCACCCTGTTCTTGGCATGTTGTCACCTTTCGGGACCGGATCCGCTGTTGTGGAAAAGATATGGAGCTTGATTGGTGATGTTACGAATGGGCTACCTGGATTTGGACCTGTTGCGTTTCCCCCACGTTGCAGTGAAGATCCGAAACGAAAACGGAATATAGGCGCCTTGGGTAAAGCGATAGAAGGACTTCTCGGACAGGAACGAGGGAGGCGCGTGTGTATCGGGGAGAAACAAAGTGGGGAGATCGTCAAAGATAGTGAAGGGGGGGAAGCGATGAAATGGGGACTTGAAATTGAGATGTTGAGGGATACAATGAAAGGGAAAACGGCTGTGAGTTTGTTAAAGTATTTCCTGATATGAGGCTGATTGAAGGACCGGTAGCCGCAACTTCTGGCTAATTTTGATGACACGTTCAATGAAGCCATACAACAGTTAGTTCAATGGGGTTCCGTAATTTTTGGGGAGGATAACACGTGAGTAGTTGGATTTATTGCGCGTGATATTAAATAATTAAATTTGAGAGTAGAGGTCATCGTTATTTAGCTCATAAGACGCCACAGTTGACTTGGAACTGTCAACTTACTGTCAAGTCTCGGGAGCTTTGGGATAAATGGCGAGCGTCTGTTTATGGTAAGTGCTAATTTGATATTCAGAAGCTTCTTGACACTTTGTTTAGCATCTATAGCGTGTCTCTGCGCGCTGTATTCCATAAAACGGTCCCGGGCGCTCCGCCGAACGGAGGCCAAGCGTGTGGCAGAATTGGTTCAAATCGCACTTGATACTTTGCGTAATCAAGAATTAGCTCACCACACGGATCCAGTGACGGCACCGCACCCGTATTTGTCCTCTCTTCAGCTTCGTGATCTCATCTTACAGGATGAACATTCAATATCAAGTCGAAGAAGGGTCTGGGATCAAGTGGAGCGTGTGGTCGAAGGGAATGCCAATGTGAGGGCAAACCTTGAAGAAGTACAAGGTGGTGACGAACTACGCGTATGGCGATGGGTAGGATCTACCAGTGCACCAGAATTTCGGAAGGTTCAATTTCAGACGCAAAAGGATCAAGTGTAATGTACACCCTTGTTTGTTGATCGATTTATTGTTTGTTTGCTTCTTATGTTTCTCTCTGCTATATATCCCCTCAGTATGCATATTGTCCTCTGACCAATCGGAGCTTTTTCCATCAAAATACCGGTGTCAAGAAGGCGCTGCGCCCCATGTGCCACCTCGCCAGGCACAAACACCTCACAACACCATTTTCTTGACCTCGTAAAAAAAAAAAAAGGTCTCGAACGATACAAAAAAGGAAAATACATTATCGAGCATTTCTTATCAACTTCTAGGACCCTGATTAAATAATGCTCCAATTAGCTGTAGGATGCCGTTGGAATCCCATGCTGGATCTTTTCTATCAGTGCCCTCTTTGTAAACTGTTCTTCTGCGAGTACACGCGTACTCTTGAGATAGAAGAGATAGAAGGACCGCCATCAGTTGCAAGTGACTGTGTGATATGAAACCTTGAAAACTCACCCTCAAAAAACGTTCTAGATCAATACGTCCGGTGTTCAGAGCCCTATGGAGATGATAGATGCTATCTTCTATAGCATTATCTTCAGCGACCAAGTTGATGAGCCTGTTTAGAAAAGTCCAATTCACACCGGTCAGCATTACCCGGTGATATTGTCGAACAAAAAACTATTCCATACTGGTTATGTACTATGCTTGTGGAACATATCAATTCATCGACTTCTGGATCTCCCTTCCTTCGCAATTCAGCGATGTTGCGCTCCCCTTGATCGACAGCATTCCGCAGTCTGCTAGAAACATTATTACAAACATCTCGCACGGCTTCTAGTCGCGCCATCTCATCCCTGATTGCGGGTTCTCCGGCAAGAAGGTCGGTTTGCTGCGCTCGCAAACGTTCACCGTCCAGAAGCATAACCTGAGAGAGAGAAGCAAGCTCCGACGCGATCTTGTCATGTACTTGCGCATGCAGGCGGAGCAACTCTGGGTTCGGTGGTCGTGGCGGTGCTACCGTGCGAACCTGTAGCACAGGAGGTGACGAATCGGCAGTTTCATCATCTAGGAGGTTCGCAGTCGGCCTCTGCCACAAGTTTGGTGCCCCCTGTAAATGCTGTGAAGGAACTGGAGGTGATGGCGTGTTTGGGGCGCGTGATTGATTCAATTGACCGGATATGGCTTGGACAGCGAGTGGTACGGACCAGCGGTTGTCATGATCCGGTGGCAGAGCGGGACCTGCTACAGGTACAGTGCCGTCATTATGGTTTCTGAACGTGTGCTGATAGGAAGGGCGGCTGTAAGTTGGAGGTCCTGTGATTTGGGGTGATTGTCCAGAGGGTAGAGCCGGTGGTGGCCGATTGAGCAAATTCGCCTATGAACATCCATTTCATTAATGACGCTGATGAATAACAGGGTTCTTACAGTAGAAGAGTATTGAGGAGAAGCAATGGGAGCTGCGACTATCGCAGGCTTCGGTGACAATAGTGAATGTGCTGATGAATTGGGTTTTGGTGGAAGCGCCGGTCGATCATTGCCTAGGGCAACGCGGGCAGGTGGTGAGGCACTAGATTCCTGTAAAGGTGACGGCGACGATGATTGAATTGTTCTTGGTTTGGCGTAGACTGGCGGACCACGGGAGAACTCTTGTTGCAATGCTTCCAGTAAAGCTGATAGATTACATGCCTTGCTCGGGGATGAAATTGTTCTGATCGGTGGTTATTTCGGTAAGTGAACTTACCTCGCTCTTTTTTTCCCAGTGTTGGATATATTCAATTTTACATTGGCCACTCACATCAACGTGCTTACTCGGTCTAACGAGCATGTCCTGTGTTGGAACAACATACACTATTGGGGGCTGTCGGGGATACTCTTTTGTGACCCAAACAGCGATGGGGATATTATATGAAGCGCCGCGAAAGGATATTGGTAAGACGCCATGCAGACATAGTAGAAGTTGAGTTCGACCATCATCATAAGCTAGAGTTTCAAAGATCAACTGGTGGGATTTGAATATGGGATCTAATAGTCACTGAACTGTAGACATCTGACTTTGGACCTAGAGATGTGAAACGGGCGAGAGCAGTATCAAAGTCAAGAAGGACACGATCCTTGTGAGTATATGAGCTGACGTTTTGTCGTAGCCATCTCTGTGTGGTACTCATTGGGTTGTAAGGCAGTGGCTGTGTTGTGACATCGGTTTGATCGGAGTCTTTAATTGATTCTCCGCTTTAAACGGACCGAGATGGGCCTTGACGACAAACCCAGTCAAGTCTCGACCACCAGATCCCCCCAAAAGTTTTGTTATAGGTTAGCGCTTAGATCGAACTGGCCTGCTTCGTATGACTCCACTAGGATGGCCGTGAATTTCTATTTTTGTAATAAAAAGAACCTTAATTGTTAGTATGAATGACCTTCGAAAGCGGGTCTATTTTCTCACCACTAGTTCCTCGATCCGTTATCTAAACCAGGGCCATTTCAATAAGATGTTATCCGAATTAGCGGTTCCCTCATGCCACTTCCGGATCTTTAGCCTTGGTCGTCAAAATCTCTCAACGCTATGCTGATTTCGTTCTCATTTCAGATTCAGAAACCCTGCCGAAACCGGGTCTCACATATATATAAAGGTTCCTTCAAGCCCTCCTCTTATCACTTACCCCCCTTAGTACGCAGTGCCACTGCCCTAATTCTCGTGCTGCATCTTTAGTCATGCGCACTTCAAGACTATCTGTCTCTCGTGAACGCGATGGAACAACCCTCACTCCCCAAAGGAAACACCGTAAATTACTCAAGGATGGCTCCAGTGAGGTCTGGCCAGAAGAGATAGAGAGAATATTCGTTCAAGGTTGGTCCTGTACCATCATCTCTTCCTCACTGTCTCACCCCACGCTCAGGTCTTCGAGAATACTGGGAATCACCTTGGGCAACTTACTCTCGTGGCAGAAGTCGTTGGAGGAACCAATTCTTGGTCGAGTACCTGCAGCGCGCTGGAATAGACCGTTCCAAGAAGCAAGTTGCAAGCCACATACAGGTACTTCGCAATATGTGGAAAGGCGAACATGGTCAGAAAACTTCATCGAGCGTCTATTGATTCCTTCTTAACCTGTCGTCTAGAATACCACTTGGTGGCTGGTGGTGAGGAATTACTCCTTGATACCGGTCTCCCTACGTCGGTCAAAGCAGAGGAGTCACCCGACTCCCATATGATGGCATCCATGTTCCTCGATGATCACTCGCCAGCATCAGACCGTCCCGGTCGTCCGGTGTCTCGTACGTCCCGCCATCATCTCCCTCGTGCAAGTCCCGCCATAATGGGTTCTAAGACCGAACCCATAATGCCGCCATATCCGAATCCCCGGATACCAACGGCCGACGACGGATGCCGTCGCGTAAGGTCAATGTCCACTTCTGCTAGCGCTGACCAACGGCGACTTTCGCCATTGGCATCTTCCCTCTCACCTGATATGTCGGTCCGGCCAACAGCATCGCAATCGTGCCCACATGTGCCATGTACTGCCACACGTACGGACTTCGACTTTAACCGTGGCTATGAACGGCAAAATCAATCCGTGCTCACCGCTGACCAAATGTCGCCGGACCTCCTTCTTTCGAATTCTCCCCGGACTCAGAACTCATCAACACTGTTCTCTTGCACACTTCGTCCTCCAATATTGACAGGATTGTCGCTTTGGGCAGAGGGCATGCATCCCGCTACGGTGTCGGTGGATGCTCTTTCCTCGCAAACACAGCCAACGGACTTGAACGCTCCGGTTGTGGCGCTACGTGTCAAGCTCCGCCTCCCTCCAATAGAGGCTCCATACTCTCCGGCCCTCCACGGCTTTCAAGGTTCGATTACATGCGACGCTCCACGTACCTCTAGTATTAGGTGCTCCACAGCTGTCTTTGTCAGAAACCAGTGTGTCTCTCGGGAAAGCAGTTATTGTTCCGTAATAGCTGCGGATGCTACCGGACCTGAAATACTGGATCACATCACCCTACTATTGCCCGATTCCCAGCTCAGTCGAAGTCGGTGGATAGATCCTGGTGAGTACCTGCGTTCAGACACGCTGCCTCATGTTAACAACGCGACAACAGATATGCAAACATGCATCATACAGAAAATTGTGGTTGATGAACAAGTAATAGCAGCCATTTACTACGATCTCGACAGAAGGCAGTGTGAAAATTTGCCGTCTGTGGAGCTCATTGGATTCCAAAAATACACCGGCCACGCTGACACCACTCTGGTGCCAAATACCAATGGCGCCTTCGTACCAAACTACACTTATGCACCTGGACACAGCATACCTCGTACCATCCATGCCACTCCAACGTCTTTGTCTCATGCACTCATTCCTCCTAGTACGGATTCTTCACGAGTTATTCCTTTTCATGAATCGCCGCCTTACGTGATGTCTTCATGAACCCAATATTTATTTATCACCGCACGCTTTTCGTTCGAACTTTTTGTTGTATCAAACTTGCGGCGGAAGCCATTCATGGACCATGTTAATTTGGATGAACGGTCAGCTCTTAATCTGCTTTGGTTAAATTTAAACATGTATCTTCCATCATTTGCTGCATGCTATTGTAGATACCGTGTACGACTTACTGCGCACCATAATATGTATGAAATTTTACGTGTTGTTACGATCTTGTATAATTGGACAAACTGCGCGCGGCGTCTCGCACTCGACTATCGTAATGGTGCTGTTGCAGCAGGGACAGTTCCCAGAAACACGTCCCAAACGGATGGCATAACTGAGGGTCGTCCACTTCAGGGCGGTATACACCATCAACTCGCCTATCTTCAGTCGACAATAACGCTTCGAGTTTCGGATCCTTGGCGACCAAACTTTCCACAAATTCTAGAGCCCGGAGGGCGGCACTCGGGGGCCAATTGAGTGACGCAATCAACAAGCGTTTACTAAACGCTGCCGATCTCCAATGCATTGCCGTATTTCCCGAACTGCGCGGAGAAAATACGATATTCAGGGCTCGGAAGAGCATGTCAGCGGTGGATGGAGGTTTTGAGTTGCCGAAATTTGAGACGAACGCACTCGGTGGAGGCTCGTCGACTTGCATCGATATGCTGACCGGCAGTATGATGGCATATAAATGATTGATGAAGTCGGTAAGGTCGATATTGAGCGCTTCACCTGAAATACGGCATTGAGAACGTCGGAACAATTATTTGCAATGGATGACGACGAACCTTGTCCTGAGAGTAGCTCAAACGCGGTTACGATACACAGTAGGCGGTGTTGAATGTCGGTAGTGGCGCCAACACGAAATGATTCCGAGTCAGCGCTGGGGTCCTCCTCCGGGGCATCGCGGAGAATAAGATCCTTCAGGACCTGCATCAGATCTTTGAAGAAGTCGATATTGATAAGATGAGCAAATTTGGAAATGCCTCGCAAGGCCGCCGGCAGAAGGGATGTCGGGCGGGGATGCTTGAGTATCCGGAAATACAAAACGAATAGAAGTTTCAGGGTCTCAGTGTGCTACACCGGAACCGTTAGTCGAGCTTTGATATCGACAAGTTACGAAACTCACTATATTTGCTCGTTCCTCTTTGTCAACTTCTGCTTCTGCGTCCCGCATTTCCCGTTCGATTTCCTTCCGTTCTTTTAGGACTTTTTGCGCCTTCTTACTAAGATGGGGTTGTTCGGTCGCTTTGCCCTTAGCTCGTCGGGCCGCAGCCTTGCCTTTCGACTGCATGTGTTTATCTACCTTAGAGTCTGACGCGCGGATATTGAGTTCTGTCTTGAGGCGAAGATGCAGAAGACACGTAAGTACTTCAGGGTGCACATTAAAGTGCCTTTCTTTAGTCATACGGTTTAGAAGCTGGACGGCTTCTAGGGAAGGAGCACCAGTTTGGTCCTGGCGGAAAATACTGATCAATGTGTTCATACATAGATCAGAAGCCTGGCATGTCAATCAATTGTCAGGTGGGGCGGATACGGCATGTGTTAGTTTAACTACTTACCTCATCCCACGACTTCTTGCTCAAGCGCGCCACAATGCATGTTATCAAGTTGGTTCTAAAATTGAAGTGGGTGACTTCAGTGGCCAGGGTGCACATACATTTAAGCGCAACCTCTGCTAGTTCGCTTTTGGCTGTATGAAAGTCCATCAGTAAACCACTATCGATAAACCACTATTAGAACATGCGTCACCTTTGAGTTCAGCTTCAAGCGAGCGGAGGTAATTTTGATACACTAGCACAAAACCCTGCTCCCATTCTCGGGTACGGGCTACCATCTGGCTAACTTTTTCAGTCTTTTCTTTTTCGGTCAACGCTCGTATCCGGTAGCCCGGTATTGTGTCCTTGAACACAGCAAGCTGTGAAAGTATAGCTAGCTTCCGGATGATGATATGGTTTAGAACCGGTTCTGGGTGAGAAGGAGACGTAATTTTCTCCAGGGAGAAAGTATGAAGGCGGCGAAGTAACCCTAACTGTCATATATGTCGAGCAGACCAGTTGGCGAGATAGTGAAGTACGCACGCTATTTTCTGGCTCTGCAATTATTTCCTGGCAGATGGTGGCAATCTGGTCTTTAGCACCCTGTATCCGAGCTGTTCGTGATTTGTTTCCAACAACGTCGATGACGGCGGGACGGCCAAAACGTGCACCAGTCGCGACATCATCTATTCTATTTACTTCAACGGGTATTTCTTGCTCCTCCGCGAATTCGTCGGTGGCACTGTCTTCTTCGTCTGACGATGGAGGAGCTGCAATTTTCATGCCTGTTGAATGGATTCGCCCATCCGCTGATTTTATTGGCAGCCCTTGAATGTGGCGGTCTATCTTTGACTCGCGTGATTCTTGAACCTTCCGAGGAACACGTTCATAAGACATCTCGGCGTCGGAATCTAGATCATCTTCACTGGATAAGTCTTGTTCGCTGTTGTTGACAGAAGACCGGGAAATCGTGTCCGCTTCATCTTCAATACCAGAGCTCCAGGCTTCTTCGTCCTCATCATGAGAGTCTATTGACGGCAAGTCATCGTCCACCTTTGGTTTGCGGGCTGGCTTGTTCAATCGTTTCAGACGCTCAGTCTCCTTCTTGCTCCTACAAAGACGTCATCGAAATTTAAACACCGTGTAAGAGATGACATACGTTGATATGCCTTTTCGATCAAGTGTATTTAGGAATCCAGCACCATCTCCAAACTCCTGGAGGAGACCAGCATCCTCTTCGGAGAGATCGCCATCTTCGGTATCCGCGTCATCGTGGTTTCCGGGCACTTCGATATAGCCTCTGTCCGCGGCTCGCTCCTTGCCTTTCTTTGATTGTGTTGTACCGGTCCTTGGTTTGCTGTTCGCCTGAAGCTTTCGCTTTTTTGAGGGTGCCTGCCGGAACTATCAGCTATAATTACATAGTAAAATTTGTACAAAGACGTACTTTAGCAGCGGGAGCCGTTCGCTTTTTACCCTTTAATGCCATGAAGTTCCGCTGGTCTCTGGACGATTTCGGTGAAGCAGTTTGCAGACCTGATCGAAAATATGGTTTACCGGGTACCCCAGAAAGGAAACAGAGACTTGGTGAATGCGACACTGCCACTGACGCGTTCTGCAGCAGTCCCGGCGGCAACTTTCTGGCGTGCGGTAGCTTCAAGAACTTGACCACCGATTGATTATTCCTATCAAGTACCGTGATACTGTATCGTGCGATGGACGGTCGAGTTACCCCACCACCCGTTCACCATGTCCTCAGGCCACATCATATTGATCTCATAGCAATGCTATTGTTGATTTTCAAGGAATACGAGCTTCAGAAGACTTTGCCAAAAGACTTTTTGCTCTATATGTATCGAGTTCTCTTGATGGAAACGTCTGAGGTGGGTCTGTGATTTCCCCCGATCAAAGTTTGCGATCAATAATGTCTGTCTCAGGTCATTGAACATAGGTCCCATCAGCATATGCTGGCGATGGTCAAAGTCGCGCCGCATGCAGATACGCCTGTTGTCCAAGGACTTATAGGCGCTCTGGAGAATGTGGTCTGTTCATAAGTGATACTGCTTTTGGCCCTCCCTCATTGGATATGTGATCATAGGCAACCCAGCTACGAGCGCTTGATCAACTAACTAACTTCTTCCTCAGTACGTCTTTGTGCTGATTTATCATTCAGTAATGAATACTTCCCAGGCACACCATCAATATTCGTTGAAAAAAGTGATGACCAAGTGAGCCAAAGTCATTCCTCGGTAGGGATCAATAGGTAACTGATGGTCTCCAGCCTGCTGTTCTGGTACGCAGTTGCTCACTCCTGTAGCACTATAGCTTAGAAGGTTGGCCATAGCGTCGATCATCCATGTTCGGTTTCTTTGTGCGCAGATGCTTCGTCAGTTTCATCAAGCTATCATTCTATGGCGTCATACAACTTCAAAAAGACTACCAGGCGTGGGTCAATGGATCCAGCCACGCAGGTTATGGGCCAATAGAGAAGGATATGCTGACTTCTGATATCTGGCTGTTCAAGACGTCAAGTGACTTGAAATCTTGGGCGCGACCTGAACCATTTGAAGCGTAAGCAATCCCTTTTCCTTCTAGCAGACTTGAATTATCCATTGATCATTGGACAATAGGTGGGAAAAGGGTCTCGCAACGGGAGATGATGTCATAGGTCCCGAGAACTTGCGTAGATATTTTGAACAGCATTTTCATGAACACAACGATTCGTGCGTCGTGTTTGCCCAGCTTTCTGCGCCCTACCTCACTGAGTATCTTGTAGGGGTGTTCGACAGCATGCATTGCTGAATCTGGTACGCATGCACTATACTCGAAAGGAATATCCTGCTGCCAGCAAGGTATCTTTGATATCATTTCTTATCTTTCACAGTTCTCACAGTGTCCACATACAGTTACTTCGTGAAGCTATTGCAGTTGCTAGAACAAGCGGAGATCGTATAACACTCCAGCATTGTATCAGGTAATTTATCTTCTCTTTTAACTGTGGAATGATTGATTTCCGATATAGCATGCTTCATCGCTTGCCATCACTGAACGAAACTCCAGTCTTAAACGAGATTCAACCTGACCTGCATCCGTTGGAGGTGTTGTTTGACGTGACAAAACTACTTGATCCGCAATACGTGAGTGATAGCTCATGACATTGCATGATTTCATCTCTGATGCCTCGCGTAGGGACAACCGCTGACCTTGTGCTTTGAGAAATTGACCGAGGCTGTTGCCCTACACAATCACTGGGTAGACACTAAGCAAGCAATACCTCGTGACGCAGACATATGCAGTCACAATGCAATGCAAGCTGTACTATGGCAAACGTTAGGTGAGGTTATCTAGAGCTAGCATGACCGCAAAACTGATATTTACAGGATGCTACGACCTTGCCGATGTCGAGGAATCGTTCGTGTTGTCAATAACGAGGGCTGAAAGAGACGACCCAAACCGTCTGAATACGCTCATCAATCGCTCCTATAGGGTATATCTCCGATTGAGAACTATTGGATAAGGTGCTGATATGTTCTCTTGAAGCGCGCCAGAAATGGATTGTACTCAGAGGCTTTGGCACTGCTACTGCATCCGGAGACGTGGCGTGGCCTTTCATTAGACGCATACCACCAGTGGGCGGAAGCTGTCTGGCATATACTGGCCCTGAGGACAAGTCGTCGGTACGTTAGGCTCCTCTCATACTTTATTTGCCCAGTTGACGGTGACCGATGGCAGTGGACAACGACGTTTCTTTGATGACTTCCTCTTACCCCGAAGGCCTTCGTCATCAACCTTCGTCTCGAAGGAATATTTCTTTGATGAAAGCTCGACGTCACTTCCTGCCCTAAACATGGAATTACATGAAGTGATGAATGCTCGAGTGAGTTGGTTTTTCACATTCTCAGGCTCTTGCTGATTGATTACCAGCGACACGGACAAGCAGTGGCTGCGATCCAACCGCTTCTGCAAGCTCTTTGGCAAGCAGAATTCCAGGGCAGGTTTCCGTTGTACAGATTAGGCATGATACTCCTCGCCGATGTTGGCTTGGAATTCGGAATGTCAGAACATTGTCAACAGCTGATTCTAGGGATTATGCCACAGGTGAGTTCTGTCGCACCGTGAATCATAGGAAATACTGAGAGATCTTTGACAACAGATATTGTCCGGACAGGAAATGGAGCACCGAGCTTTTGCAAACCACACACTTGCAAGGTGCATGATTGCATCCACGGATTCATCAAGTATGACATTTTCAAGCGTGTTCGTGCCTGGTACTTACATCCTCGTAGACGCAGGCCTGCGAAATGCACTGCCATGTTTACTTATGGCAGAAGCTGACTATATGTCCATGTCTATGCTAGAAGCTACTTCAGAAGTGCAGCAGCTACTCGTAGTTGTCTATCATAATCTTGGTATGACAGCTGAGGAGGAGGGAGCTTTTGAACGGTATATGCAGTCTACAAAGCTGGCTCAAGCTTTCGAAGAAAATCCTGCTGATCCGGAGGCTACAAGGGTATGGGATACAGTTACAGAGATCGGGAAATCATTGGCCTCTAGATAGACTGATACACGAATTATCATATGCGCGTTTTTGTCACGTACATGTGAATTGTCACGCCGCCTGTCACGTTTTGTCACTCAATGGAGCGCGTTTCGGGAATCGGCAGTGGTTTAACCAACATTATTATTACTCTCCTCTCGTCAACTTTCACATGGACGGGCCTCCACCCCAGGAGGAAGATTTCTCTTCCCTTCCAATATCAGAGAGGCTTAATCACAAAAACTGGAAAGCCCGTGTAAGCGGATACGAATCATTGATCAAGACTTTCCAAACCACCGCATCCGACACCGACCCCGCATTTAAGCCCTACATCAACAGTCCTGATCTTCTCAAGAAGATCGCCACAGATTCCAATGCCGTGGCACAAGAGAAAGGTGTAGAGTGTCTTGTGGCACTAGTCAAGTTTGCTGGAGAGTCTACCGCAAAGACCAGGGAGGCTGTCGTGCCGGCCTTAGTTGACAAGTGTCTTGGGTCTGCGAGGGCCGGTACAAAGAACCAAGCAATAGAACTTATTCTTCAATACGTGGAAGTTGAGAATTCTGCCGCTGGTGTTGTAGTACGTGCAGTGTCCGCCTTCTCTTGATACCGTTTTAACAGATATCTCATTCATTCAGGCGGATATAATACCCGGTCTTTCTGCAAAACAACCAAAGACTGTCACTGGATGTGTATTTGCTTTGAAAGAAGTCGTTCGGTGAGCTGTCTGCACCTCCGTCCTACACTCTGGACCTCTATTTCCGAGCGATCTGACTGTTATTTCTGTACAGGACTTTCGGAACTCAAGTGACTCCTCCGGCCCCTGTTTTAAAAGCATTGCCCAAGATATTCGCGCATGCCGACAAGAATGTCCGTGCAGAAGGCACGCAACTTGCTCATACATTATATCAGTACATCGGTCCAGCGATCGACCCTTGGTTATCGGAGCTTAAGCCAGTGCAGGTAAAAGAATTGCAGGAGGCATTTGAGGGGATGGAAAGTGCAGGGAAGGGTAAAGGAACTTTGAAGTCCGAAAGGCTCACGCGAGAGCACCAGCGCGAGGCAGAGATGGCAGGCGATGCGGCTGATGATGGTGAAGTTGAAGCGGGCGGACAACTAGAAGGTCAGAATATCGACAATAATTATAGATGCGGCGTTCATCTCTCACTTTCCAGAACTGGATCTTCCCGATCCTCGCACTCTGGTAGAACCAGTTAACATTGTTCCAAAGCTTCCCTCCAACATGCAAGCTAACCTCACGTCTTCAAAATGGAAAGAAAGAAAGGAAGTATTGGACGAGCTGCTTACACTTGTAAATGCCACCCCTCGCATCCAGGACGCCCCTGAGCTAGCAGAACTAGCGAAGTCACTTGCTGCATGCATCTCGAAAGATGCAAACGTTAACTGTGTCATGACTGCCGCTCACGCTATAGAGGGCCTTGCGAAGGGTGTGATGTCTCCGTTCGGCAGGCTCAGGGAGACGGTCATTCCTTTGATGCTAGAGCGCTTGAAAGAACGTAAAGCAAATGTTACGGATGCAATCGGAGCTGCATTAGATGCTGTTTTCGCAACGGTATGTGGTTTTGAATGGATCCCCCGTATTTGGTTGATGAGTTCTGCAGACGACCTTACCAGATATGATACCTGATCTGATACCGGCTCTAGGAAATAAGAACCCACAAATAAAGGAAGGGACTCTCAAGTTTCTCGGTCGCTCGCTATCGACTTCAACGACGCCGGTGCAAACTGGCCAGATAAAGACGCTAACCGATCCGCTCGCTGTTTTGCTCGAGGACGGGTTTGAGGGCGCACGCAATGAAGCTGCCACCTGCTTAGGTATCCTCATGAAGATGGTTGGCGAGCGCCCGCTCAATGCTCTGATGGATGGGCTCGCCGATATTCGCAAGGCGAAGGTGAAAGAAGCATACGAGAAAGCTGTGGTAAAATGTAAAGCTGGCGCTCCAAAGGCTCCCGCTGCTGCGAAAGAACCTCCGAAGAAAAAAGTCCCGCTGTCCAAGAAAGC